CTAATTGAAAGGGTCTGAAGGGCTGAACCAACACTATCAGACCATTTTGCGACATCATTTTTTAAGACGTCCTCTGATAACATCAAAGCATGACTATTTCCATCCGCTCGATAGCGCTGCTGTCTGGACCTGCAAGTTGAGAAAGGAGATGAGTGTGTCAGCGTTGACGGCGCCAAGAACAGGCTTTGGGTGACATGGGAGCATGGGAGCAGGACGTCTGGCTTCTCTCAGATGGGACTGAGTTTTCCACACATCACCAGGCACCCCTCTGTGAGTGCAGCTTGTCCGGGTCACCTTCACTGACATGCTGACTGCGTACAGTTACTGAACAAGCACTGAAAATGACAACAAGATACAGCATTTATACAAGTATATTATTCTGTATTATCAGGCAGGAAAACAGCATTGATGTGCTAACTGAACAACACTGAAATTACACTAATAAAATCCTATAACATTTAGAAAGTAGAGATTTGTTTTCATAGCATGTTTCAAAATAAAAGTCACTAAGGGCTTCATTAAACAGTTAAACTAAAAATATTAAATGCTAGTTCAACAATGCAAGGAAATATTCAATATTTTAATGGTCTTATATTGTATAAAGTGAGATTTCCATGTCTTTTTTGATTATAAAGTAGGTCCAGGTGCCATATTAAAACTGTGACAGTATCAAAGTGCTCACTCCATACAAAAATGCACACAGCCTGTATTCAGATACTGACCCTTAAAACGAGCCATCAGGACTTCCTTAACTTTGTGATGTTACAAACAGTCACTGCCCTCAGCCATGGCCCAAGCCCCGCCCACCTGGACCCACCATTTAACCTTGCAGGATTTGGTTTCTCTGAGTGTTTACCTGAAATCTGCTATATTTTTATATATTTTTAAGCCAATCAGAGGAGAGGCCCAGAGACTCTCTAATGATTGGCTCACCAACTCTCAGAAGCTCTCTCAGAGAGGAGATGTAAAAATACATTGAGATGTTTTTTTTGGTACTTAAAACCACAAATGTATCTTCTTATGGACATCAAAACTTCAAATAAAACACAGGAAAAGTGTGAAGTATGGGACCTTTGAGGAATGGTTTTAGGAAATAAATGCTTACTTGCTTGAGAGGGTGGCAAAAAGCGCATTTCCCAAAATATATATTTTAATATATAAAGAATTAATTGACAAAATACTCAATTAAAGTAACAAATGGACTTCAAAATGCTGTATTAGAGGTGTAAAATTATAATACCTCAGAAGGCCAGCAAAATCTAGTCCACAATTCCTAGAAACACACACATTTCCACATACACACACTCAAACAGCCTTCCTCCCCTCCCTCCAGCTGTCTTTCCACAACACTTGACTTGTACACCTCATCTGGTTTCACAAGCCACACCAGGGAACAGTCCCTTCGGAAACTCCTAATTACAGCAGTAAACACAGGCTTCCTCTCAGAGATCAGTCATAGGTGCGGAGGTGCTCTGACAGTGATGTCACGCCACCGAGAACACGCCTACAGTAACATGACTTTTAAGTCTGTCATTGGGTTTTAATCAGCTCGCTCATGCACGTCTCGACGGCTGAAGACAAGCAGTGAGAGTGCGCCAGTGTAACTTTGTGGTATTGATACACTTGAGTCACTCCCAGACACTTATCCACTCAAGGAAAAAGGACCAACAGCAAACAGTCATAGCAGATCAAAGTGAAGTGTAATGAAAGACGGGAGTTTGTCTAGAAGACTCATGACACATGACACAGCTGGCCGTCAGGGGTGATGCTGACAAATGATTTTTCTCTTGTGTTGTATAATGTGTTTCCTGCTGAATCCTCTGAAATCGTGTCAGTTGTCACAAACATATATTCATCTGGCGTCACATCAAAAACCACACTTATTTGCACCGATTGCATTTAATTTTTATTGTCCTGTATATCATGAAGGTTGACATTACTGAGGTAAATACAGCTGTTGAGGGGGTATGGCAGGATGCACAAACAGGATGCTTTACTGTTAATCCAAGATGTTTGTTAATGTGTTAAGTGGAGTGTACAGACATATGTTGAAGACTTTCCATGCCCTCGGTGCAACATGAGGCCCCTCTTATATAACTATATTGACACTGTAGATTTTATGCAAACTGTGGATGAGATTTGCAAGGTTAAAAACGCAAATGCCTATAGGAAATATTCAAATCCTTTGAAGTTTTTGCAATTTATTCTGTTACAGCATGAATTTAAAAGGGATCCAATTTGCATTTTTTGGCCCTGAGCTACACACAAGGCCCTAGAATGGCAAACATTACATAGAACAGATTCATGATTTAAGTTTGTCTCTTTTTTGTCATTAAATCCATTTGCAGACACATTGCTGCAAAATGTCAACGGGATTTCTTAAGTGCATTGCAGATGAGAGAACATGAACTCACCTTTAAAATTGACTCATTTGATAAGACTTTCAATCTGATGGTTGTAGCATCCATATTATGCAACTTAAGTCTGCACAGTGAGTTGTTAGATGTCACTAAACCCTCACTGAAATCTAAGGGCATGCGTACCTGTTACATGCTTTCTTTTATACAACGATAGGAAATTGAAATTTCAGTGCTATGACATATTTGAAGCCTGTTTGAAATGTAATTACTTCATTTAAAACAACATTTTGAAACCATGGTACCAAAACTTTAAAATAAGCACCGCTTTTTGCTGTTTGTGCTGCCAGTATTAATACAATCAGCAGCTCTTAAAAACTCACTTGTGTATCACACGCTACACCCTCATTACAGTCGTAGCTGGATGTGGCCCACATGGCTCGCTCTGTGCTGTCAGTCACTGTAAGGTCAGTCCTCCCCGCCGAACAGCAGCTTACACATCACTTTCCCTCCGAAACCCTCCTGATATCAGCACACTCAAGCCGCTGGCCAACAACTTCCTGACACTGACGCTGTTGGTGTTCCACCATCCCTATGACTCAGTAGAAGTAATTCAAAGTAATTTCCCAGGACATTTCTGTATTATTGAGGATCAGTATCAGCTGAGCTGCTCGTCCTCTCTGTGTCTTAACCTCCTTGTTCTGGCTCTGAGTCCTGTGTGCCGCAGCCCAGGTCTCATTTGCTGCATTTGCAGACAATAAATTATTTAAATCTGTCTATGCTCAGTGTCACTGACATGAAAAATGGTTCTGAAATGAGAAAACGGGGGTAGCGTGACTTCAGACAATGGCTCATGGTCGCAGTTGTATAAATGTTTTGGATCATGATTCTGCTTGAACAGCTTGTTATTCAGGATGTCAACCTCAAGTTCAGTAGGTGGGTGGTTTCTAATCAAGCACAAGCAGCATCATTTTCTTTTTTAAAGATGTCTTTAAACACAAAAATAACATCATTATCATCTGTAATGACACATCAATGTAAGAAAAAAAAACAGACAAAAAAAAACGGCTACATGTTTTAAACCCACAACTTGCGCATGAGGAGGCAATACTGCACCCCCTGCTGAGTACACATGGGTGTCTGCCAACAATAACACATGGCGGTGCCAAAATAAAAAACACTTTATGCCTGGCCACCTTGTTTTTACTCCAGGTTGAGCTGGACCACCCCAGCGCCTGAGTCCACTAGACATTCCTGGCACTTCAAGTGTTACCCATCAAATCATTACAGGTACTTTGTGGTAAGGTTTTTATTTTTCCCTCAGCGAGCAATGTGTTTTTATTAGATGGAAACTGAACATGTTACATGTGACATAGTTGGAACGGCAATTTCATTTGATGTGTTCATGTGTGGGAAAAAAAGGGGAAATACGTTTTAAATGAAAGTTTCCTTACTTAGCATGATTAAAAGCCACTTCCCGCAATGAAAAGAAAACAGACAAGTCACCTCTGTATGAAATATTACAGTACGGTACCAACTAAGAACAATGGTCATATCATGGTCAGGAAGTTACTTTATCACTACTAATGATAATACAACCTAAGAAAAGGACTAAAATAAATAAAAATAACACTGAACTGAACACAAATAAGGGAAATAACTGGAAATAGAATTAATGGAAAAACACAGTGTGACACTAAAACAGTTTAATATGCAGATACAATCTTTGGTTTGTCAGTAGTCATTTTCATAATGTTTGGTTTTCACTATCCACCTGTGGGAAATATATATAGTCCATAAAAAAATAAAATACAGAAGTGTTGTACAGTGCTGGTAGCATAGGTAGCAGCTTACAAGGTTGACAGGATTACCAGTTGGACATATAACTGAGTGTGTGGACTATTATGTATGAATAACAATTTAACTTTTCTAGTGTGTTAACATTCATCATTTTAATTTACATGATTTTACTCTCTTTTTGTCTCTTTTGCATGGTTTTACAATTTCTAAACTCCCAACTCAGAGTGCTGAAATAAATAATTATTACATGATGATGACAAATATCTCCTGCATTGTTTTGCAAAGTTCTCCCTGTATAGAGTTGAGTTTTTCAATACGGATACTTTAGAAACATTCACTGATATAATGATGTATGTTATGGTTGAACAGAGGGTGAAATATGACTTCTATGTATCCAGTAGTATCACAGTAAACAATAGTCTATACAATATAAAATAGAGTTTAATAGAGATTGCTACTGTATGTGACAGTGCCTCTCTCTGAACATGCTTGTGAGCTAGCTGACTGTTATGTAATATTTTAAAGCACTCTCGTCGTATTTGGTGTACACAGTCTATAAGGGATTACCCTGCTCACTCTCCCCTCATAATCTGCTGATGATGACGTTATACTGCAGCTCCTGAGCTCCAGTTCTCGCGAGGTTATGGAAAACAATCCAGACGCCCTCGCTCTCTCTCTCTCTCTCTCCCTCTCTCTCTTTCTCTCTCTCTCTCTCTCTCTCTCTCTCTCGGTTCCCCCTCCTCCCCAGCCCTCCCTTCCCACGCCCCAGTGCGCTGTGGGATAGTGGTACTATAAAGTATATCCTCCCTCGGAGAAAGATAAGAAGCCCGAGACAGGAGGGGGATGAAGATGGCGGACGCCAAGCAGAAGAGGAATGAGCAGTTAAAGCGATGGCTGGGCTCGGAAACGGACCAGGAGCCCCCTATTCTGAAAAAGAAGAAGACGAAGGTGAAGTTCGATGATGGCGCCGTGTTTCTGGCCGCCTGCTCAAGCGGCGATACCGAGGAGGTGCTCCGAATGCTTGACCGGGGCGCTGACATCAACTACGCCAATGTAGACGGTCTCACCGCCCTCCACCAGGTTTGTGTTAGCCTGCTATGAGTGTTAACATCAGTCACCGGTACTGCCAGCACCATTAAACACAAATATCGGTTTGCTGCTAGCAACTGCTTGCCCTGGAACACCTGTCAAATGGAAGCCATTCTCATCCCGTTGTTTACCTACCTAGCACACCCGTCCCTTTCGTCGCAGAGTTGAGATGAACGCACTGGCCTCTCTCTAAGCTTGGTTATGGAATATCCATACCAATACTAATCCTGCATGCAGCTTTCAGAATGCAATTCACAATTAGCAACAAAGTTAAAAGCTTCGCGTTTGGGACTACTTTTTGCCTCGGTAAATTGGCCTGAGTCTATATCCTCAGTCCATGGGTGCAGTCTAATTGCTGTATTGCTGCATTTCAGGTTGTAGCATTGAGTCATTTTATATTGTAAATTACATTCAAGACAAACAATCACTTGTGTTTTTTATGGTTCAGTGGTGTTGTTAGACAAAAGTCATTTCGGGTGCTATGATCGAGTCATGCTAGGAGGGTAACGTAAAGGTTGTCATTGATTGTGACACTCTATCCAGGCAAAATGAATTCCACAACAATGGCTATAACCTGGCTAGCAGGAAAAGTCGTTTTGTTGATAAACCCTGCACCGCGACTATGGCTACTCTCTGGAGAGGAAGCAGAAGCTAACTAGCCAGTCAGTTAAAACGTCATTTGAACACAGGCTAACGTTATCCTTACAAGGCCTATATCACATTTACGCAATATTCACATTGTTGACAGCAGTGTTTGGTGCATTAGTTGAAGTGGGGCAACGTTCTTAACAGAGAGAAAACATTGCAGTGTAGTGTTGGACAAGCAAAATGTATGCTAACGCAATGCTAGCAGGCTAAGCTAGTCGTCGTTAGCTGTTAAGGGGGTTTAGCTAAGGTTAATTCATTCGTTAGCTAGCTTAAGAAACAACGTCAGCTGACAACTTTTGGGCTCGAAAATTGACGTTTTGTGATTTATGTATTTTTGGTTTGAACCAGTAACATGCGTGAGCCAAATGCTTTGCCATTTCGCTGGAATGTCAGCAGTGCTAAGCTAACTATTTGCCCGCTAACTACGGTAGCTACGTATACTAGCCACTGTACTTTCAAAGCCAAATAATGAAAATGGCAGCCCGTGTTGGTTGTAGTTAGACAGTAATTTCAGGTGCTACCCAATGTAGGAGGCCTTTTGAAACCAAACTTGACAAATGTCTGATTTACATGGTTCATAAAACACCAGTCCAATGGTTGAAATATTATGGTAGCTTGAAGGTGCAGCTACTGAAAGGAGAGCCCTGATATGGCCAAGTTGGATTCAGTGATGTGTACTGTACATACAGTAGATTAGCGTTAACATATAAGGTGCTGAAATTTGGCTTTGGAAATCCGTCATTGTAATTTGTGAATATCTGAGTGTAGTTTATAGATTCATTCGTAATTCGATTCATTTTGTGCTGTGCTCCACATGTGACCTCATCCCTCAACCATGCACTGTTAAAGACATAATATGAGGAAGATTTATAATTGGGATTCTTTTTCAGATTTTAAACTTGTTATGTGATTGCATCAAGTGACATTTGTTACAAATGGATGAAATTATAGTATCTTAACACTGTCTATTAGTTGCTGTACATCATTAACATAATTCTTTTTAAATTCTTTGGGATTTTTTGCTAGATCATAACTCTCAACATTTCAGAGTAACATTTTTACAAAAGTCCCTGACTAGATATATACTTAGGACATTGCAGTTTTGTCTGTCCACCTTTAGACTCCAGGGGCAAGAGGACATCCCAGGTACTTGTGACTAAAGAAATTCAAAGTTCTACTCATTGCTTGTGGAAACAAGTATTTTTACAGTTTCATTCATTGCACCAGCAAGGATGCATTCTCCTCCCATGTGTTTGGACAGTAAGTGTTTAAATGATCATAGGATTAACTGAAAAATTCTTAAATGTTTAATGTTAGCATAGATCTCCAGTGATGTCACCTCATTACTCATGCCCACATGTCTAGTCTTAGTAAGCCAGTGTCCTGCTATGTGCACCACCTTGCTACATGGTACATTTGTTGTCCAGGACATAAAATTAATTAAAGATTGTAGAAAGGTAGTTTGCTTTATCTTTAGATGATGAATTGATTTTGTTCTTTTTTTTTTTTTTTTTTTTTTTAATGGTGTCGTTAAACCAACCATTCTTTGTGCTCAGAGTCGGCTATCATTAAATCTGGAATTAGCATGCCCCCCACCCCCCCACCCCCCTGCAAACTCATTGGGTGGAAACGTTGCCTTTTTTTGGGCTGATGTACAGGGATGAGCTAGAGTGAGGAAAGAATTTGCAGTGCTGCTCTCCAGACCTAACCATCTCTGGACGAGAGGCTGGTGTGAGGGTGTTTGTGCGCGCTTGTGTGTGTGTGTGTGTGTGTGTGTGTGTGTGTGTGTGTGTGTGTGTGTGTGTGTGTGTGTCGTAGGCCAGCATGTGATCCCTGGGTTTTGGGGTCTTTATAAAGGAGTTGAAAAAGGCGATACAGGGATTTGTGTTTAAAGTGCTAATCCCAGAATTGCAGCGAGGTCAAGCTGATGTTAGTTTCCACAGTTGCAATGAACATGAGACAGACATCCAGAGTCACCTGGTGTCATTGTTCATGTCTTTGTCATATTGTTCTCATTTAAGATAAAAGACCTTGGAGCATAATATGGTATGATGAGGTATGATATGATCCTTTTACTTTGTGAAACTCGCAAAAAATTGTATCTACTTTTTCACACAACTTTTCTTTCCTTGTAGCATGAACAGTGAGCCTCTTTATTACTGAAGCCATAGCAGGTAATTTTGACAGTTTAACTTTGTGCAATAAACTGCAGTGCCCTGATCTGTGAGTGGCTGACCTCTGGCTTTGTTGTGACATGTGTCATGTTGTTACATGAGGGCTCACTCCTCACTGGGTGCAGCGATATCGCTCCCATCACTGGTGACTGGTGCAGGGTTATAAATACCCCCGCCACAAGTTCTCCTAACTGGGTTTCAGCAGATGATACTAAGTTTGGATATGACTCAGAGTCTGTAGCTCTGCTTTGTAGTGCACCCCTGGCATAATCTCACATATAGGCAAGAGGTTATGTCTCTGTGTGAGTCACAGACCTTGTGTCACTTTGAAATCGACCTGTTGCTGAAGGACCCGTAAATATGTTGTGTTGTTGTCTCTGCGATGTGATTCATGACAAAGACCATTACAGGCTGTCGTGCATATGGACGTTGTTCGGGATGAGGTTTGGAGAATTAAGCGCTAACTATATGTGACGTCTCCAGTTTTTTTGATACATGCAAGAACGCCAGAGGGAAAACTGCGACTTTGTACAGCTCTTGTAGTTTCAAAATCACATTAACATTTCGTGATCTACTCGTCTGAGACAGATCAGTTCACCCAAACACATACTGCATGGCTTCAGGTGGTTGGTAGAGAGGATGCACTCGTGAATGAGGAGTCCAGTAGAATAGTAGAGATTCCAGATCCCGTCAGCTAAACTCGTCTCGGAGGGTAGCATTCCAAGTCTTGTCGTCCTAGCCCGTGCATTCTTCAGATGACAGTCGCTGGAAACCATGGCAAAGACAGAGGAGAGCAGACATTCCTCAGCTGTCACCTAAACCCCTCCCCTCTAGTCATTCTCTCTCTGGCTTGCCTCTCCCCATACGATGCCAAGGCCCAGCTGACTGTTGCCCACTGAGCTCCATCAAGGCAATTAGTGTGGAGGTAACCAGGGCTTGTCGCCTCACACAAGAAAATCTCCACATTGACCTACACCTGAACTTCTTTCTTTAGCATTCATGGTCTTTGCTGGACCAAGGTGGCGGGACTCAGCTCAGCTTAACATGTCAGAGTTGGGTATTACAATGCCTGTGCTCTGTTGACATTACACACCCTCATTATGGCCCTGAAGTCTATGAACATTATCTTGCACTGTCTCCATGACAACGACTCAGGGAAGGTTGCTAGTCACTTGTGTTGGTGGATTTGCATGTACAGAGTGGGAGTTGCATAACAGACTGAGCAGAGAGAGAGAGAGAGAGTCTTTGGCAGTGCACAGCAGTTTGAAATGAGAATCAACTTCATGAATCTTGTAATGGAACAATTACAGAGCATGTGGTGGAAGATGGTGAGGTGGCTGTGTTTCTTTTCATCCAGACCAGCATCAGTCATATTAACACATTACATAATTGCCTCGGATCTCACTGTAGCCCTAACCCTGAGATTCTCAGCTGTGCTTGAGCCGTGCAGTTGGCCAGCGAGAGGAGCAAAACAGAAATGCCTTTGACATGTCCCTGTCTTCCTGATAAAGGCATCATGGCATCCCCTTACAGAACCCAAGCCCCCCGTCTTTCTGCCCGAGGGAGAAAATCCCGCCATCTCATGTGGATAGGCCCCTTGGCTCAGACAGGCAAAACATGTGTGCATCACATTGCCTTCCTGTAAGGCTCACCTGTTTTGCTAGTCTACACAATAGAGATACAGGTTAGTGACTTACCAAGAAAGGCTTAATCCACATAAATCTGTCAGCCTTGTAGCTTGATGATCAGCCTGCATAATAACGCCCAGATCTGATGATGACTGTTGGATAAAGACTACCTAGAATGACATATTTTGAGGGTGTGATGTAATGCACAGTGCTGTTTTAGTTTTTCAGTAGCTTGTGGAGTGTCTAGGCATGTGGCCGAAAAGTTAAAGGGGGGGGGGGGGGGCCCAGGCGACATATCAGTGCTCTCTTTATATGTAGATTTAATTGGGAACTCCAACAAAGATTTGGTACATTAATGCAGAGCATTGTAAGTCCACATTTGATATGTATGTTCATTAAAATCAATTGTAGAAATTAGTGAGATTGTTTTAGTATCATTAAATAGTTGTGTACAATAAATGGCCTGTTTTTTTGGCATGGCTATATTGGCGGCAGGATTTGATGATCTTGACCATTGAATGTAATACAGTTCATTGCATAA